TCTTGCTCTGTCCTTGACATTGAGTTCTACCTGGATTCTATCCTCTTGGAAATTTATATATATATATATATATATATATATATATATATATATATATATATATATATATATATGTATGTGTGTGTGTGTGTGTGTGTGTGTGTGTGTATGTCTGTTGTGTGTGTATATATTAACCACTGGACGTGTTTCTAAAAATAAATACGCTAAAAAAAATCCACTTTCATCCCTACCGTGCGCCGACGGCTTAATGGTTAGAAACTCCGACTGACACCAATTCAGCTAGAGGCAACCGGATGTCTAGCCACACTGATGAGCTGTGAAACAGCAGAAACAGTCTGTCTGTGGATTACGTTATATATATATATATATATATATATATATATATATATATATATATATATATATATGTGTGTGTGTGTGTTTGTGCGATCGTATCATCCAGGAGTATATGTCTGTATGTGTTTCTGGGTATCTGGCTGAGATTCTGTGTGCGTGTCTGGTCGTGTAAGCGGCTAAGTCCTTGAGTGCGTGCGTGTTTGCGTGTGGACGTGTGTTTGCGAATGTATGTATGTATGCCCGTGGGGTTTACATGCGTTCGTATATGTCCGTGAGTGTAAGCAAGTGCATATGTATTCTTGTGTGAGCCTGTGTGAGTGCATGTGTGTATGGGATTGTGTATGTGAGTGTATTGCACGTGAGTGTATGCGTGCATGTGTGCGCATGTGTGTAAGGGCGCTCGGGCGGGTGTGCGAATGTATATGTGTATAGAGTTCAGTTTTAGGTATGAGTGCACACATTTGCACGTAGTTTTCTTTGTGCGTATGTGAGGATGCGTGAATGTATGAAAGGCCGAATTTGTGCGTGCGTACGTGTGCCCTGTGACGATCTATCTGTGTGTGATTGTTTATGTATGTGTGCGCACTTATTTTGCAATATTTCTTATGATAGTTCATTTTCGACGCGAAATGCTTAAAGAAAGCATCATAGAAAATTAATCGCAGCAGCTTGTCTGTCAGACGATTTGAATGAAATGTCTATAAAAAGGAAAAAAAAAGAAAACCCTCAATAATATTAACTATGCGTGCTTACCGCGTTTGGAAAAAAAACAAAAAAAACTTTCTCATACTATAAATTTTAATAAAGCATACATTAGTTGGACAGAGGGCCCATTTAAGAGGAGATATTACAATCATACTACCCCTTTTAGACTCGAGAACCATATAAATTATACAAAATTGCAAAATAGTATTTGGAGGTAAAAAGAAGTTTTAATGGTGTATGTAGTAACTACCCCACGCAGTCACAGAGGCACAAGGCCGAATTTAATGTGAGTTTCCCGACCCACTATGCTCGGCCAAAAAATCCCCGTAGAACACGCATAAACGGGATCGGGTCGGTCTACCTCTCCGAACGAGACTCTGCCCTTCGGCATAGCCTCGTCCGGGTTCCTTTCTGCCCGAAGGCAGAGAGTTCGATCATCGCATCTGAAAAGATTTCAGCTAGTCTCTGAAGAAGTTAATGATAGTGTTCCACACATAAAGTGGAAAAATCATCAAAAAAGTAAAGCCGGATAGAGACCGAGGAAACTACTGTAAGCTATGCCACGAGGAAAAGTTGACGATGGCCACATACATAAAGAAGGACAAACTCCTAAATGAAAGATCGGAGGTGTCATCAAAGTGCAGACACCTCAGCAAACATTTGTTGTGTGTGTACGAACCTCGATGAAAATATTTTTCCACTTCCGTTTCCCTGCCTAACTTCCGGTGGTCGGATATAAAGGTGGTGGAATAAACAAAAATCTTTCATCTTACCTGCTTAAGGAGACCTAAAAGTCGAAACCTGGGTAGCGTGGTAGTTTGAATTTTAGTGTCCCTAATTATATATATATATATATATGTGTGTGTGTGTGTGTGTGTGTGTGTGTATTTTCTCGCTGGAGTCAATCCTTTCAAATTTACAAATCAACTATTCGTCCTTGCATGGAGTATTGCTGCCATATATTGTCTGGAGCACCTTCTGTTTGTCTCAAGGTTCTTGATAAAATCCAAAGACGGATATGCAATGTAATTAGCCCTGATCTGGCATCTCGTCTGCAGTCGCTCTCTCACAGATATGCCGTCGCCTCCCTCCGTCTTTTTTTTACAAATACTTTCACGCTAACTGCTCCGATGAATTTAAGCGCTCAACTAGGCTGGCATCTGGGTCTTATCCTTTCACTATCGAAACTGTTAAATGTAGCCATCTCTTCTGATCTAATAGCAGCATGTCTCGCACCTCTCACCTGTGGAACACCCTCCCCATTTCTTCTTTCCTTGATAGCTATAATCTCCAACTATTCAAATTTAATGTCAATCGACATCTCCAGATCACATGATCTATCCTCTATCCTCCACTTCATCCTTTCCTCTATCACTCCTATTTGGTCTCACTCCAACTCTCTGTAACCCCATGCGTGCTAGTGGCTTCCCGCCTTGCTTGGGGTGAAACGCTTATATATATATATATATATATATATATATATATATCAAGTATGTGGTGCAGTTCAGTTTACATTACATGAATCATTCATACAAAAAACAGAAATAGAAGTTAATGATTTAAATGGCGAGAATACATCTTCGCAAACAATTTTAATAAATTACATTAACCCCGAACCTGTAGATGAATGTTATGACCCCTGTTTATAAATTCCAGTTGCATAAGGTCTTTTTTTAGTTTTTTACAAGCTTTCGTCTGTTCCTACAGACATCTTCAGGTATGGAAATATATTTAAAATAACTGATCTCCCATTACCATATTAGTACAAAAACGCACAATCTTTAAATTTAAAAATTCAACTTCAGCGTTGTGACCGCACGCTTCCAAAAAATTTCTTACAATTAACAATAACACATTTCTAAAAACATTTTTCGGATTGCATCTATATTTTCGTTGTCCTGTTATTACTGAGAAGTAAAAAACAAAGACAAATCTATTTCCATACCTGATGATGTCTGTAGGAACAGACGAAAGCTTGTAAAAACCTAAAAAGACCTTATGCAACTGGAATTTATAAACAAGGATCATAACGTCATTAATGTCATTAAAAGAACGTATAAACATAAAAAAAGTCTTAATATATATATATGCATCGAGTAGATATGAATGTACGTGAGAGATTCATGGAAGATTAAAGTTTAAAGACAGTAAATTCGACCTTGCTAACCAAATGCTCCTCTGTAGCCAAATCGGTTAAGGCACGTCAAGCTAAATGACGGTTCCGTATAGGATACAGGTTCGATTCCTGTCGGAAGACGAATATTTTCTATGACAATTTCTCCGACATTCAGGCCGGTAAATGTTGTTTAATACTGTTATTATAAAACAGAGCATTTACTTAAATATTTGTATCTATAAAAAGAATGTATAAACATAAAAATGTTTTAAAATAACAAAGAATGGTAAACTCGGACATATACTTAAAAACTATATTTATGAGGTGCCTTAGAAAACTGACTCGATCATGAAAAGAAAAAAGAAAGAAAAAGAGATTTGTTTACTATTTTGCATGAGTTGCTGATAATTCTTCTCAAACTGCTGCCAACATTAACAGAGCATTTTGTGAAGATTCTTCTTTTAATCGAACAGATTGTTGCCGGTGTCTGAAGTTCCGCAACGGGGATACGAGACTTGAATATCAAGGTGGTATAGGATGTCCATCTGCAATTGACAGTTAACACTAGTCGAACAAAACCGAGGCCAAAATGTCAGCGAAATGTCTCTGATAATGGGTGTCAGCATTTCAAGAATATCGGACATTCCCAAGAAAATTGGTAAAGTGAAGAATCTCGAGAAATGGATTCCACATGAAATCGGTGAAAAGTCAAAGACTGTGACGTTTTTGAACTGTTTCCAATGCTGCATTCGCGAAATTCCACTGATCCATTTCTTGATCAAATGCGATGAGAAAAGGACCTTTGATGTCAATCGTAAACGACCAGTTCAATGTCTTAATCATGACGAAAGGCCCAAACACTTTCCCAAATTGATATTGCCCCAGCAGAAGATTATGGCCAGTGTCTGCTGACCTGCAATTGGCATTATCTATTACAGCTTCCTGGAATCTAACCAGATCTTCACTGTTGAACTTTACTGTCAGCAACTGGATGACATTCACATCCAGTTAAGTAAAATGCTACCGGTACTTTTTAATGACAATGCTTGACCATCTGTTGCCAGGATGACACTGTAGAAGGTCACCGACTTGAGATACGAGTCCTTATTATATCCACCATACTTCCCTGATCTGTAGTTCACTATTTACACTATTTGTATCGTTCATTTTTATTGCCATATTCACGACGTTTCGGCCGCTGTACACTCCGGCCTTCTTCAGGATCTGTTTATATTTCTGAGATAAGGTATTTTAACTATTTACATTATTTACATTGTTCGGAATATTACCCTCACCGTTATTTCCATATTCACGACGTTTCGGCCTTTGTACATTCCGGTCTTCTTCAGGATCTGTCTATATTTCTGAGATGAGGTATCGTAACTATTTAAACTATTCACATTGTTCGGACTCTTGCTCTCATCTTTATTTCCATATTCACGGCGTTTCTGTCGTTGTACACAAACGCATAACTTTGTAACTTGATGACAGGAATATATAGATCTGTAGTAAGCGCTCGACGGTCATAGTAAGATTTATCCGAAAACTCGGAACACTTCGAAATAAGGAACAGAGTTTTTATATAAATAAATAATGCATTTTATTTGAATCATTTCAATAGGGGCGTTTGGTTGGTTAAGTTTTGTTAGGCTTGGTAGTGGTTATTTTGAATCAGACGTATTCCATTGATAAGAAATAATTTCGATTCGGACAGCATTCGACACCACTTTATGAAAAAGACTCCTGAGTAGGTGCTTTCCCGACCACTACGATTTTAACATCTTCAAGTTTAGGTTCAACCAAGTGTAAGGTAAACTCTCCCCGCTCGACGGCACTGCCATACGAACATCCTGTGTAACACATTCCAGCTGCCTGTTGTTAGTGGCTGACATAACACCAGACGAAGTAATATAGGCAGAATTGGTATGAAAAAGAAAATATGCCAGCTGGCTGGAGGTGAATCCATGTAAAAAAAGAAAATATGCCAGATTGCTGGGGGTGAATCCATGTAAAAAAAAAAGAAGAGAAAATATGTCAGCTGGTGGAGGTGAATCCATGTAAAAAAAGAAAATATGCCAGATTGCTGGGTTGAATCTATGTAAAAAAAAAGAAAAGAAAATATGCCAGCTGGCTGGAGGTGAATCCATGTAAAAAAAAAAAAAAAAAAAAAAATGCATGCTTCTTGGAGTTGAATCCACGTAAAAACAAAAGAAAATATGCCAGCTGGCTGGAGGTGTATCCATTTAAAAACAAAAGAAAATATGCCAGCTTGCTGGAGGTGAATCCATGTAAAAAAAGAAAACATGCCAGCTGCCTGGAGGTGAATCCACGTAAAAAAAAGAAAATATGCCAACTGCCTGGAGGTGAATCCATGTAAAAAAAGAAAAAGAAAATATGTCAGCTTGTTGGAGGTGAATTCATGTAAAAAAAGAAAATGTGCCAGCAGACTGGAGGTGAATCAATATAAAAGAAAATATGCCAGCTTGCTGGAGGTGAATCCATTTAAAAAAAAGAAAATATGCCAGCTAACTGGAGGTAAATCCATGTAAAAAAATGACAGGATAAGGATTGAGTTCGGTAATTCCCAGATCGACACACACCTGCAGAAGGCTCGGGAGCTCAACGGTCGAAAAATAACGATGATAACAACAAAGACAGAATTATTAGCCCGAATATAAATGAGAAAAGAAAAAGACAACTGCTCATTCCTAGAATATAGATGTAAGCAAATAGACGGGATAAATAGTTAAATTCCCACGTGATGACAGTAGATCTTCCGGTTGAAATACCGTGGCCTTCAGGACATTTCTCAGGTCAATGAGAATTTTTATTTATTTATTTTTTTATTTACTGATAGATCATTCAACACAATGTCCACGCCTGACTCAAAGTATGGGGTTACCGAATGACATTGTAAAGGAAGGGGAAATAAAATAGAATTATAAAGACGAGTAGGATAGATATATGTATGACCCTGGACGTACAGAGACCAAGACTATTGTAGTCAGGGAAGCATTCGCTCGGGAGTTTCTCCTCGCAATGTAACCATTCTGGAGAAGAGGCTGTCTGAGTGGAACGAAAACTGTGTGACACTCTGAAAATGGCATGGAGGGTTCTACCTGTGAAGGTTCAAAGTATTGGCTCTAAAGAATGAAACTCATCCCAGCATCTAACATAGTAACAGCGATATACTAGTGAAAGCCTGACGATAAAGGTTGCAGGGTGGTGAATAATTGCTGCCAGATGTAGTTTATCGTTACATCACGGACATGAAGTGGAAAGATTTGATTGTGTAAATTGCTAGATCTGCTCCTAGAAAAGTTGATTCATAGTATCGTGCTAGACAATTTTTCTCGCCAGCATCTATCTTCCACATTTCTGATTCTGCCATTTGTCCTTTTATTTTTAAAAGCAATTCACCCCAAGCAAGGCGAGAGTGCCACTATCACGCATGGGGTTACAGAGGATTGAGAACAAGAGTAAAGAGGCATTTTTAAGGAAAGGATACAGAGAAGGACGGGGAACAAGTTCAAGGTGTCAGATGTCGATTGACATTACACTTGAATATTTGAAGATTATAGTCATCGGGAAAGCAAGTAAGGGGAAGGAAGTTACACAGATGGGAAGTGCGGGAGAAGAAGCTGTTTGAGTAGAAGAGGCGGTTACATTTAACCGTTTCGACAGTGAATGAGTGGGACCGAGATGCCATCCTAGTAGCTCGCTTCAGTTCGTACAGTCCGGGAACCAGCGAATGTAGCTCGTCGGAACAGTTGCCCTGAAAATACTTGTAGAAGAGACAGAAGGAGGCCATGGATGTCTTTAGGATAGCAATTGTAGACTAGATGCCAGATCAGGACCTATCATATCACAGACTTTCAAATATATTAAAATTAAGCAAAAGAAACTTCAGACTAATTTTTTAAAAAATATATTTATTTTGACGGAGAATTTATTTATTTTGTCGACTCTTAAAATTTAGTAACTTCTTATTTAAAATTTTGTAAATTCCTTTAACTGCGTAAAATTATTTTACCATCGACACAGTTAACGTTAGAGAAATAAAATATTAATACTTAATTATTGGCTCCAAGTACACACTAACCGAGCCAAAGATTGAACACACAATTTTCTTTCTTTTTATGTGCCATGTCCTTTCAGGACGTAGGCGATCATGGCTCTCCACCCCACTCTATCCCTTGCAGCTCTCAACAAGTTTCTTCCCTCTGCCACCTCCCCCAGACCACGTTCTGTCAACCACTTACTTAAGTCCGCCAGGTATGTCATGTGCTGTTTTCCCTTGTCTCTCTTTTCATCTATTCGACCCGTGAGTATCAGATTCTCCACGCCCTCCTTCCTCATTATGTGTCCTAGAAACTTCAGCTGCCTCTTCCTGATGTTAAGTATAAGCCTCCTCCTTGTTTAAAACCTCTCTAAGACCTTAAAATTGCTCACATGCTCGGTCCATGATATCCTTAGCATCCTTCTGTAGAACCACATCTCCGTCGCCTCGAGTCTATTTTTCATTTTTGAGGATATTGTCCAACATTCGCTACCGTAAATAAGGACAGATATCACGTCACAGGAGGCACGGTAGTGTAACAGATATCGGCTCGGATTGAGGAATCGGAGAGCGGAGTTCGAATTCTAGTCGAATCCATTACATTCACTTACGTGCTAATACCCTTAGGAAAGGTGTGAATCATCTTCTTCTCCCTCCAGCTAGGGGTAAATAGCAGGACAGACTGGGTTCTATAGCCTTGGATGGCAACTGGTCTACCACAGAAAGAAATGGCAAGCAACTGCGGGAAAAAAATCAGCCTCGACAGTCATGTATCGAAAGGTACTCGCCTAAGCGTGTATCACGCATAGCATTAAAAAAATTAATTTCTTTGATATCAGAGAAACCTCCTGTCTTGTAGTACTCTGCCCAGCTTTTGGAATGTGTCCTTGGCCATCCCAATACGCCTACGGATCTCAGTGTCGCACTTACCATCCTCTGTCAAGACGCTTCCCAGGTATTTAAATTTCCGCGTCTGCTTGATTCTAGTGATCACGACCTTCAAATCGCATTTCGGACGAATCCTCTTACTGATACTGTCACCAAATTCACGAATCAACGGTTTAATATTAATGTCTTCACCTTTTTCATGTAATAAGTAAGCATTTCGCCTTTGTCCTACGTCTAATCTAAGCTTAAAAAATCACCAGGACACTTCCATGTGGCATAATAAATTAGCAGCAATGTCTCGCTAGATCAAATACGACGGACAAAAAGCGTTCAATCCTGACTGGGTGCCCCATACATTCGGCCTTGTGCCACTTATAAGCTACGCTTATAAGATCACTGGCGTACGTGGTCGTGGTATAATCGTTAGTAGGTGTGTCACTCTAGATCAACTACGAGCGAAAAGTGAGTCCTATCCTCAGTGTGTGCGCCATATTTTCGGCCTTGTACCACATCTGATCTACGCTTAGAAAATTACCAGAGCACTCCGACGTGATGTAATGGTTAACAGGAGTGTCTCGCTTGAACTATTACGACTGAAAAGTGAGTCCGATCCTCACTGTGTGTCCCATCTTTTCGGCCTTGTGCCATACCTGAGCTACGCTTATAAAATCACCAGTGCACTTCGACGTACTGTAATGTTCAGCAGGAATCTCTCACTTGATCAATTACGACTGGAAAGGGAGTTCGATCGAGGCTTATTACCCCATAATTTCGGCCTTGTGCCATGCTTATAAAATCACCATACGACAAGTTAACAAAACTTACAGAAATCTAATATATATACACTAAATAAAAGAAAATTACAAACTCTTATCTTCATTATCTGTCTATGTTACTGAGATGAGATATTATGTACACTATTTACATTATTCGGACTATTGTCCTCATCTCTGTCGCCATATTTATCACAACGTTTCGGCCCTTCAGTATCTGTCTATATTTCTGAGATGAGGTATTATGTAAACTATTTACATTATTTGGACTATTGTCCTCATCTTTGTCGCCATATTTATTACAACGTTTCGGCCCTTCAGTATCTGTCTATATTTCTGAGATGAGGTATTATGCATACTATTTACATTATTCGGACTATTGTCCTCATCTTTGTCGACATATTTATTACAACGTTTCGGCACTTCAGTATCTGTCTATATTTCTGAGATGAGGTATTATGTACATTATTTACATTATTCGGACTATTGTCCTCATCTTTGCCGACATATTTATTACAACGTTTCGGCCTTTCAGTATCTGTCTATATTTCTGAGATGAGGTATTATGTATACTATTTACATTATTCTGACTATTGTCCTCATCTTTGTCGTCATATTTATTACAATGTTTTGGCCGTTGTACACTACGGCCTTCTTCAGGTGGTTGAAATATCGAACTGAACCCTTTTTTCGCTCACTGGGGTAGACTGTTCTAGATCCACGTGCCATATTTAATGGATATCAGTTTTCAGTTATCTCCGAAAATATGGGGACAAATTGAAAAATCCTACCATAAAATGGGACGAATAAAAAGTCTTCAAGAACACATGGCACAGTGGATAAAAACCGTTGCTTAGATACAGTGACAGGACCCAAAGAGTGTGAGTTCAATACCTGGTTAAGGCAGTGGAGAACTTGGAGAGGGGAATTAACAGGAGATAACTGATAACTGACATCCATTAAAACATGGCACGTGGAACTAGAACAGTCTACCCCAGTGAGCGAAATAAAGGGTTCAGTTCGACATTCCAACCACCTGAAGAAGGTCGGAGCGTACAACGGCCGAAACGTTGTAATAAATATGGCGACAAAAAGGAGGACAATAATCTAAATGTTATCTTCATCATTGTTATTATCAAAAACGTTTCGACAGTTGGGCACAGGTGCTTGTCGATCAGAGTGATGTTCAGAGAAATTCAAGCAGATCTTTTGATTTGATCTCCTCGTGAGGAAGGACCTTGTATTCGTTCTGCTGTCTTTGTCCATTAACTAAAAGGATTGAGTTCGGTAATTCCCTGATCGACACACACCTGCAGAAGGCTCGGGAGCTCAACGGTCGAAAAATAACGATGATAACAACAAAGACAGAATTATTAGCCTAAATATAAATGCGAAAAAGAAAAGAAGACAACTGCTCATTCCTAGAATATAGATGTAAGCAAATAGACGGGATAAATAGTTAAATTCCCACGTGATGACAGTAGATCTTCCGGTTGAAATACCGTGGCCATCAGGACATTTCTCAGGTCAATGAGAATTTTTATTTATTATTTTTTTATTTACTGATAGATCATTCAACACAATGTCCACGCCCGACTCAAAGTATGGGGTTACCGAATGACATTGTAAAGGAAGGGGAAATAAAATAGAAT